TTTTTGTTTTTGTTCATTCACACGCTCGAACACACACAAACACACATACATTCGCATCGCATCGTCAGCATGAAATTTTTTTTCCTTCAAATGTGTGTTTTTTTCTCGTTTTTCTCGTGAAAAGAGTTCGCTTCCTCGCTCTCGATTGGTTTCTGCTTTTGAGCTTCGTTCACATACATTCTGAAAATTATATGTGCCTCGTGCCTGGTGTCTTATTTTTTGCTTATTTCGACGAATGTATGTGTGTGTGTGTGTGTGTGTTTGTGTGTGCATAATCGCATATACGAGCGCACGCGAGAGAGAGATATCAGGCTAACGTTATGTATGTTCTGTGTATGACGTCGTCTCAGCTGTGTGTTTCTCTCTGTAAGTATTTCTGTCGGCTGAATTTCACTCGATGACTCTTTCTATGTTTGTGTATATTTATTTTGCTTTGATTTCTGTGTTGTTTCTGGTGTTATTTCTTCTTCTTTCTTTTTGCCCGCAAAAAGAATCCAAATAATCTCGACCAGAAAACAAAAGTGAATTATGGCTAAAGGAATAAAAGAAAAAAAGTGCACGAAGCAAACAGAACCAGAAATATCGTAAATAATAGCGCAAGATGTGTGTGCTGTCAATTACGCGATGCGGCTGAGAACGTTTTTATTTCGTTTTTTACACATTTTCTGTGCGTGTTTCTGTGTAAAAAAAAATTTCAATTGTTACAGTTCGTAGAATTATCGTCAATTTGATTGAGCTGTATATGGCTTATTGATGCCTTTGATGCATGTCGAACGACAACACGATCGGTATTTGTGTGTGTGCATGTGTGGCCACACATTTTACATTAACTGTTGTGATTTCTTTTCTTCTTCTTCTTCTTCTTCTGCTACTTCTTTTGATATTATCGAAACATTTTTCTCACCTCCTAACCCACAAACAACAGCCAAAACAACAACACACGAGGAAGAAAAGAAAAGAAATAAAGAGCTAATATAAATAGTTTCGATAATCTGGCAAATAATGTGTGAAATTGCTCACAATCATGTTAGCACACAAAGTAGCGTAGTTGAGTCCAAGAGGGATACCAATCGAAACTGGGTGGCTATATACACATATGAGATTTGTGTGCCTTCGAATTTCGGTTTACGTATTTTATATGTATATATATATATATTACTGTATGAACGGTGTCGTTTTCACAATATAAATGTGTGGACTTTACTCGGACGACAATATAACACGACAAATGAGTCGAACGAGAAAAAAAAAGCCTTGGGAGCCATGCAAGCTAAGAACTCTGTACACACATGCACAGACCTTGTTTACATTTTAAATTTTTTTTTTTGGACAGTAACACACGCGACACAACTGAAAACTTTTTTGAAATTGAACCAAAGTGGATAAAAAAAAAGAACAAAATTAAAAATACCGAGGCTAGAGCAAGTAAACGAGAGACACACACACAAATGAAGTGAAAGCGAGAAACAAGACGAAGAAATATCAACGGTATGGCATTTCTAACTAAATCAGTTACGAAACTTGAAGAGCCAGAAAATATAGTCGTCTGTCGATCTGTCCACGGCTTTGGATTTTAAATCTGAGACGGCTTTGGCATACACTCATATTTTTCTCTTTCAAGTTCGATGTGTGTTTTTTTTTTCGGCTGTTGTTCATTCAATACACTTATTTGTGTAAACGTTCTTTTGAAAACTGTCATCTTCAATCCAGTTTACTAATATCGCGGACGATTTGAGTCAAAACAATAGGAAAACCGAACGAACGAACGAAAAAACAATGAGCAGAAATAACTGGCAACGTATTTATAAATGATGATGATTGATCATAATGGTCGTGAGCATCGAGCGGATATCACACAAACGAGGAAGAACCCTTTCAAATACCTTTTTGGGAATGGAAAAACACACCATTCGAACATTCATTCTACGCACATACATGTGACACACATCAGCTGAATCGAAGAAAAGACGTGCACGAACCCAAAGCAATTATAATACATAATAATAACGATATTGGTACGAATGATTTTGAAAACTGATTTGAACAAAGTTTAAGGGCAACACACCAATCACAACTGATGAATTTATTTCAACATAATCACATAAACATACACACACACACACACACACACACTAGAGCACAGAGAACATTCATACACATCCTGAACCCTGTGAGAGTCTTTTTTTTCGTTTATTTTGTCACATCTTATTCACATGTGCACAATTTAAACAATAACAGAAGAAGAGGGAAAAAAAACAGAAAGCAATTTCAACTGCTTCCATTCATAACAGCCAAGATTTAATTCTCGCGTCATACGCGCGATTTCAGGTAGAATACGAAATTTCGGATTCGAGATTTGTTTTTTTTTTTTGAATCCGTTGCGAGATATATATTCACTCTCACTATATAATCACGTTTCACACCGACGAAATTTCTACCATTGACTCGCAATCACACACAAATCGAGAGAACACGCGCGATACCGAAAAAATTAAGCCGATTTTTTTTTTGTGTTGTTACTGTGTTCATTCTTCTCACGTTTTTTTCGGTCTTACACATTAAATCATGCATACACTTCTTTCAAAAAGAAAAAATTCATCACAATTATTCGAGTGATCGGTCGAGGATTAAACTTGAATTGAAGTCGTTTCTCACATTACTCACATTTTTCCACTCATTGCCACATTCACTCGTTGATCGGTTGAACGAAACAAAAAAAAATTGCTTATTAGTCGAATAACAACAAAAAGAAGAAACTTTTTTTTCAATAGATTTTCGTCTTTGTGACGATAGACACACATATACACACACCAATTATAATTTTTATATTTTCTTAATTATTTTGTTAGGCTATCGCTAATTCAGAAGGTTCTGTGCTGTTTCGCATTTTCATTAAATTTCTGTTCAAAATGCTCCTTCTACTTCTCCTTCTTCTTCTTCGTTTTGTTTTTAGTTTAGTTTGATTCACAAATGAATGAAAAACGAACCGTTTTTTTTAGTTCATCCGAAATGGCAAGAACGAAAAATTAAAACATAAAACCGAGAACAATTTAAGTATTTAGCGAGAATACCACAAGAATTGATTGTAGTTTCGTTTTTTGTTTTTGGCGCAAATTAAAATCCCAACACAACCGATAAAAGCAACACACAAATTCAAACGTAACAGATAATAAATGATAATAAATAAAAGGAATTTTTGATTGACGAGTGCGAAAACACTACAGACAAAAGACCGTACGACATCTGATGATGGTGCAACGAACACTGAATCAGATATTTGTTGCGAATCGTAGATTTCTTACACACATTTCTAGTTGCGGGAATTGGATGGGCGCCCCGTGCATGTGTGTGTCTTGTCGTATTGCCATGAGCTCTCTGTGTCGTTTGCTGCTGCTGCTGCTGCTGCCACTGCTGTAGCCGTTGCTATTGCTGCTGTCAGGCTATCCATACAAATGTACGTAGTCACATAGTAATGCCATTCGATATGAATGCGAGTAGCGAACCTATGGGAATTCAAAATACACGTATATACACACAAGAGTACATGCGGCCTGTCGGGTCTCACACAAAACATTTTATAGAGTGTGTGGCCAAAGAACAGTGCTGAACACGTGAGCGTCTATGCATCAACGTCAAGTCTATTGTATTATTGGTACCCTATAATTCAGCAATAAAACCTAAACCAAACCAGCCAGATTCTCTTATACTGTCATGCTCTTGCTCGGTCCCTATTGCATGTGTGTGTATCGTTTGTACGAAATATCATATGTTCTGTCCGTGATTTTAGACTCGTAAACACTAACACCAACAACCCGATCGCAATCCACACGGTGTCGGTCGGTCGTGTACAATGTGAACTTAAACTCACCGCCGTGTGAGTGCACGGATCATCCACACACACACATACACACACACACACAGACACTGTGTGTTCTTTCGTTTCGGTTGTTCTAGTAGCCTTTCGGCACTTTGCGTGTACTTTTGCTGCGTGTGTACGCGTGCATGGATGCGGTCTGTGTGTGCGTTCGTAGTGGTTAAGTGTGTGCGTGTGTGTTTGTTGTTTGTGTGTAAAAATATTTTCTATTTTGCTGCAAAGCAATGCGGATGTATTTTAAATCGACAACGTGCTTTTTCGTGCGCTCGCTTGTCATTATTTAAAAGCGTCCAAGAACAGTAGTAAACTTCGGTTCAGACTCGGTGTACAAAGGATCGGGTGCCAATTGCTCTGCGCTGTCCCGGAAAATCCGTGTGCTTGCAACAAATTTTCGCGTAACTTTTTTCGTACCGATTTCGTTCTTTTTTTCCTCTTTTTCTTTCGTTCGTTTTAGTTGCTTTGATTTTTGTGTTAGTTGCAGCTACTGTTGTTGCTGCTGCTGCTGATACTCCGCGCTTCGTGTGGCTGGTGTTTGTTTGTACTCTTTTCCTCGTTGTCATTTGGCATTGCTATACGAGGTGCAGTATCATAATCAAGTCACATCGCTTGCGGGTACATGACACAGTCACCTTTGTCTAGCTTTAGCGGTGAAACATTGACCAACACACAATACACATCACCAAGTCCTTCATCGCTACGTTCATGAAGCGTCGAATGCAGTTTTGTAAATGCAAAACTAGCATAAATGATCAATGAGCTTGACGAGCTAAGCCACAGAAACACACTCAATCACACATACATACACACATACACACACACACAGCGTTTTAAAATGCACTGTTGCTTTCGCGATTATGCTTCTTTTCTTTCGTTGTTGTTGTTCCTGTTGCTGCTGCTGTTGCTGTTGCGTGTGTATGTGTAGGTTGCATTTTACTTTCAGCTAGCACTTTGCATGACAATATAAATAAATTGTATCATTGCGCGCTGTGGCAGAATGTGAAAACAATTCACCATGAACGGTGATTTATTGGTTCGAACAAATTCTTGTTATATACATTTTTTCCTTTTATTTTTTTTTCGTTTGGGTTGTGTGTTTCAACGAAACGTTGATTCATATATGACACACACAGACACAGAGGGATCGAGAGTGACATAAAAAGACGGGTAAAGCGCATATATCTTCACCTGATACCCAATGCATGCATGAATACCGTGCTTGTTATCCTTTTGTTTACAAAAGTTTTGCTTCAACTACACAAATTAATCGGTGAGCAAAAGAAGAAAGTTTTTACAATAGTTTGTGGCCCCGGTCTTATTATTATTGCACACACTCTCTCTCGCTGTCTCTTTTGCTCCATCGAAAGGAACAAAGTGAAACTGTTGAAAAGTCACTTCCGATAACTTTTATTCGATTCATTAAAAAAAAAGATCAATATTTGTAATTTTGGTGTGTTCACACGCGCCCGACACAAAGCAGAAAAAAGTCAAGAGAAGAGGAAGAACAGCAACATGCTAATGGAAATCACTTTTTGAATGGGACCAATTTAAATCGAATAAAAGTTTTTGCTAGCTCTTCTTCCTTTTTTTTCGAACGCTCATAAATTCTTCTCGTTACCGTTGTCTCTCTCTCGATCTCATTATCTCTCATTCTCCGTTGCCGTGCATATTTTCTGGTTACCCATTTCTCCATCGACCTTGTATCATATTTTGGGCCAGAAAAAAAATAGCGGATGGTTCATGAAAATTATGCACTTTTTTGCAGCTAAATTTCGTTTCCATTTCGATGGATTAAAACTTAAGTGGAACGAACAATTTGAATTCTGTTCGTCGTTTTTCTATGGTTCTATATTCAGTCGACGCTACGCAGAATAGAAGAGCTTCGAGTTCATGGTTGTTGAGACAATGGCATATAATTTAGCCGATTCACAAGAATAAACACATTGCATAGCGCGCACGAGAAACAGAGAGAAAGCATTCGGAAAATTTGTTAAGCATTTTCTCCTTGTTTGTTCATCATTCGCGCTGCGTTGATTTTAAATGAGCATGAACAAAACAAGATTTGCTGATTAAAAAAAAACAAAATGTATAACAACAACATCGCATGCAAGTTGCTTTATTATGCTTTTCTCTTTCCCCTCAGCCTCTGTCTCTGTCTCTCTGTCAAGCACTTTGTTTTTCTTTAAAAACATTTCTGTATCTGTTGTTCGGTAGGTCAGTTGTGATAACCCATAAAACGGCGAATCATCTGAATTGTACGCCACTTGACTTGGTATAAGGTGTTTCGATCATTTTGGAAGTTGATACTTCTTGAATGTTGCTGCTAAGATAGAGAGAAAGTAGTCAACCGATTGGAAGAGACACGAAGAAATAAGTCGATTATCAATCATATTGTGCGTGTGAGATTTAAGTGTGGAAAAATTTGACGAGTAAAAGTTGTGAAGGATGTCATCGGTCGTGCGAAATCCTCTGAAATCCGCTTTGCGAAAACAAATCAAAGCCGTTCTGTTGACCCAATCTCCCGAAAGCAGAAAAGAGCAATCACACACCGTAACCAAAAAGGTAGGAATTCATATCATATCAAACTTTAATCGGTTTTTATTATTCTAAATTGTACCACATTTCCGCTCTCTCCCTACGCACACATTATAACCCGATCGCATCATTTTTCCATCTCACATACAAACACACTCACACTCACATTCAGATATTGGATTCAGATGCATTCAAACAATCGACACGTATCAGCGTGTATTTGAGCTTGGGCCATGAGGTTAATACCCAGGATATTCTCGCCGAAATGTTCCGTCAACAAAAAGAAGTGAGTCAATACAAAATGAAAAATCGTCAGCAAAACGACGACAACGACGGCGACGGCATCAACGGAAAATCATCATGAATAATTCATTTTTTGTTTTGTCGATTCGATTCGCCAGGTATTTGTACCGTCGTACAGTGGCAACAGCATGGTTATGCTGAAAATCAAAGACATGAATGACTTTGAATCGTTACCGTTGACAAAATGGAATATTCCTCAACCAAATGACGATGGTACTCGAGAAAATGCCGTCGAAACGGGTGAGTCATCAGTGTGTTATAATCGAGGCACATTCATATGAAGTGCCTTATCGTTTTTTATTCATTCAAATCGATAACAAACGAAAAAAAAAAATGGCGAAACCCGTGTGAAAAATTTGTGACTGACTAGCCAGCCGTCTAATTTCGAACTTTTTGGCTGACTATCAGTAACTAAAAGTGATTATCTCGAACAAAATATTCGACTGTAGTCAACTTCAGTTATAGTCATCTAGTAGCCAAAAAGTCCGAAATTAGACGGCTGGATGAAAGAATAACTAAAAGTGATTGTTTCTATACAACATTCTTGAATTCAATCAACTTAGCCAGTTTTAGTTATTTGCAGCTACATACAATTGAATGACTGTCAGTCACTTTATTTGCACACGGGAATGTAACGATGGATTTGACTGGGATTTGTTTCGTTTGCAAATGATTCTAGGCGGACTAGATTTGATTTTATTGCCTGGTGTTGCGTTCACTCGTCAAGGCGGTCGACTCGGCCATGGAATGGGCTATTATGATAAATTTTTACATGAACACTTCAATAAAAATCCACATCGACGCACCGATTCACCGCAAAGTATTGCCGAAAAAATCGCTGCAAAGAGATCCATTCTATTGGGCCTAGCATTCAATGAGCAAATCGTCGATAACGTCCCATTGGAACAGACTGATGTTTTATTAGATGAAATTGTAACCGCATAACATTCCTATGGCATTTTTTAAAATGGAAAACATTATTTTTTCTCTAAGAATTTTAATAAAGAATTTAGTTTAAAAGCTGATGATTCACGAAAACAAGCGTTTATATCAGTTGAATTTTTTTTTTCATAAGAAAAAAAGTTTTGTGCGATAATCCCCAGTTAACAGATTCAATGTGTCTAGCAAATTCATAGTTATGCTGACCTTTCGTAGTTGTGATTGGGCGACAACATATTTCAAATGAGAATGTTACATTTTCCGAAATGTTCCATTGAATTTATTTATGATTTCATATTCCGTACATTTCTCAAATGAGTCGTGCGTGTGGTGGTGACCTCTGCTGGCGCTCGACCACAAGCTTGTTATGTCAAACAAAACAGTGTGTAGCATTTTCTGTCGAATTGTCGCAAAGACATCGTAAATAATCACAATATTCAAAGAATAAATATTTAATTTATTGTAAATATTAGCTGAGTGAGAATTGTTTGTGTGTGAACGGGAATCATGGCCGATGATTTACAAAATTATAAATTACAACTGCAACAAGTAAATTTTCGTGCAACCAAAAAAAAAGACGATCATCTTATCAATGTTTTCAATGCTAATGACGTTTTGTTTGATTAATGTGTGTGTTTTAATAATTTAGGTTGAGGCAGCCCTATTGACCGATCCCGAGAATAGTGAACTGCTGAAATTGAAAGAAGATCTGGTTGAGGTGATCGAATTGACACGCGATCTGATCAAAACACAATTGGAAGAGCAAAAGAAAACCTCATATGTGGAACCAAACAAATCATCATTTCCATTAGAATCGGATGAAACGGGCGAATCGTCCACAGCAGCCACCAGTTTGGGCGATGATTTTGACGAAATTGAAGCGGCATTATTAGCGGCTGAAAAAGGAACAACGCGACCACAATGGAAAATTGGCGATAAATGCCAAGCAAAATGGACTGAAGATGGCAATTTTTACGATGGAACCATTGAAGGTATTAGCGAAAGTGGTGAAGTCAATGTTGTGTTTGAAGCATATCAAAATCGATGCACCACCACATTGGCCGAACTCAAAGAGCGCGTTGTACGCAACGAAGTTTTCCCATCAAACAAGTAAGAAAACATCACGTTCAACTTAGTATTCATTTTATTTTGGTATTGTCCATTGATTATTTGATCTTTTGTTTCGTTCGTTGCAGACGACATCGGCCAAACAATAAAGAATATTTGAAGAAGAAAAAGGCGAAGAAACAGCAACGATTCAAAGTGCTGGAAGAGGAACGTGAACAGGACAAAAACAAATGGTTGAATTTTTCATCGAAAAATACCAAAAAAACGGGAACAATCAAAAGCATTTTTGCATCACCGGATAATGTGAACGGACGGGTGGGCATTGGTACATGCGGTGTCAGTGGCAAAGAAATGACTAAATACTCATACGGTGAAAAGTACCGAAAAGGCACATAAGTTAGGGAGCGAGAAAGAGAGAATAAGAAACAGTACTATTATTATTTAGCCGAATACAGAAACTTTTTTTTAGCGCGCTACAATCTAACGTAACATACTGTAATTTCCACACATACACACACATACATTTTTTTTCTTCGTCTGTAACACTGAATTTAAACGAGCTAAGAATTAAAAAGAAAAAAAGAAGAATACACATACAAAATAAAAATGGTCCATTTTTTTCGTTCTCCATTAATAAAGGATGAGAATCGGTTTTCTTTTAGTTAATTTATTGAATAGTTACAACGAAAGTAGGTCTCTAATGACGCTCAGCGGTGGTGATGATGAGTCAATGTTGAGAATTCAGTGTTTAGCGAGAGCGTGAGAGATAGAGAGATAGATAGAGAGAGAGAGAGAGAGAGAGAGATATCTGAAACTAGCGGAACTTGGAACATCAAACATGGAGTAGCGGTAAAATGACATTTACCTGATTTTCAATGCCAATCAACAGATTCAGTGCAGAAAGCCTAGAGAGAGGGATAAATGAACAAAAAAAAAACGACATACACAAAACAAAAAGAGAGTTTGTACTTAGTGTGTGAGATAGAAGAAAAGACACATTTTTTTTATATTTATAAGCGATAAGTGTGGCCCATGACACGTGAATAAATGTCAGAAAGAATGAAAAATGTAATAAATATCGCCGCCAGATTTGTTGGTGTCATTTTGAACCGAGTTTGATTGAAGAAAACATATTCTCTTGTTCTGGTGTTGTGTATTCACTTGTCGCTCGTATCTATAGAAGTGTGTGAAGTTTTCGTGTTGCGCTGGAACATTTTCTCCTGATGTTGTTTGGTGTGTTCCACATCTGTTTCGTCGGCGGTGTTCGAATGACATCAGTGAATGTACAATGATGATAGTTTCCTCTAAACGTAATTTCAAATCAATTTCAATATGAAAAATTAAAAGAAAAAAAAAAAAAAAAATTACAAGCAAAAAAAAAACAACGACGCATTCACGACCATCACGAGCGTTAGCTACAAATTTTCGATTTAATATCTCTCTTTTGAATCCACCGACAAAGTAAACAACAGAACAAATATCAATGAAATTAATTCGCGTACTCTTTTTTCTTAAATCAAACACATAATGTTATAAGAAAACAAAACAAATCGCGAGTCAAATAATTGAGTCATATCAACAAAACAGCATACTCACTTGCGTAGCAAATCGATGCAATTCAACGATAAAGTGATAAATTAAAAAAGAAATAACAACAGCAACAAAACGTTATTGTAGTAATAAATTGAGAATTATAGCATTTAGATAGAAAATAAGGATAAAATGTCAAGCGATACAACAAACCAACGAAACAACGTTGATTGGTCCAGGTAATGTGTGGTACAATTTTTTTCTTCTTCTATCGCTCCAGTTTATATAACACATTTTTGTGTTTGCCAACCTAATCAAAAGGCTGGTTAGATGCCAAATGATGTCATCACACTATGCCTTTCTTTCCATGTGCGTGATTCATTTTCTGCCTGTTGCATGTTGTTCTCATTTCGTTTTCTTTTGTTGTCATTTTATAGATATGGTTTAGGCAATGAAGAATCTTACAACTATTCGAATCGCGTACGACCGAGAGGTAATTCGACCGGGTTTGTTGATCTCGGCAATGAATACCAATATGCATCAGGTGGACATCAAGCATCAGGTGCGAATGAGATTTTTGCCGAAGTTCAAGGCGACAAACCATGGTGGCGAACCAATTTCTTTATATCACAACCCATTTTATTCGGCACTTGGGATGGTGTATTCACCTCCGTTTTGATTAACATTTTTGGCGTCATTGTGTAAGTTTATGACAAACATTGGCCTGTGCAATTGTTTTTCCACTGGATTCTCAGAATCTACATCGTTTTTTCAATAAGTCTAAATTGTTATTATTGAAAGAAAAAATGCTGATTATTTCAATTGTATTGTAGATTCCTGCGATCCGGTTTCATTGTGGCACATGCGGGCATTTTCAATGGCGTTTTGATCATTTTTGCCACCATCAGTTTGGCTCTGATCAGTGTACTGGCGGCTGTTGGTATTTGTGAACGATGTCGCGTCGAAAGTGGCGGCGTTTACTTTCTAATTGCGCACACACTTGGCTCACGCTTTGGCGGTTCACTCGGTTTGTTATATTGTTTTGGACAAGCCGTTGGTTGTGCATTGAATGTGCTAGGTTCGTTGATTTTTCAGTTACTTTTGACTTTTCTCATTCGGTTCATTGGCAATGAATCATTTGCAACTACAATTTTGCGGAAGATTTTTGTTACTAAACCTTGCATTTGTGAAATGCGTGATAAAGACTGAAATGTACTTATTGTTGATGTCAAACAGGTTTCGGTGAGTCGATGGCTGGTCTCGTTGGTTTGGAAAAAAATGTATGGGCGATCCGTGGATTTGCTGCTGGTGCGGTGCTTTTGCTTGGTGTGATCAATGTGGCCGGTGTCAAATGGGTTATCAAGCTGCAGTTCCTACTGCTGTTGGTACTGCTGTGTGCTGGACTCAATTTCATGGTTGGCAGTTTCATTGGCGAGGATCCAAGTAAAGAACAGAAGAATTCAAACACTTGTTTTTGTGCATATTTCGTAAAATTTTTAATATAAATGCCTTAAATTCCAGAAAATGGTTTTACGGGATGGAGTTTTGACAATTTGGCAAACAATTTCTGGTCATCATATACAGATGGATATACATGGTTTCGAATTTTTGGTATATTCTTTCCGACAATCACCGGTGTCTTATCTGGTATTAATATGAGTGGTGACCTGCGTGCACCATCCACCGATATTCCCAATGGAACTTTGGCCGCTTTTGGCACATCGTCAGTATTTTTCGATGCACCATCACAACAATTTATCGAATGGTCTATTAAATTTCCTTTTTCCATTTATTTTTCATACAGGACATTCTTGTATTTGGTATTTGTACTATTTTTGGGTGCAACATGTGACCGTAAATTTTTATACACAGACTTTTTGATTGCACAAAAAGTGTCAGCGTCAAGCATTTTATTGTTGGCTGGTGTTTATGTGTCCAGTATATCTTCATGCTTGGGTGCTATGTATGGAACGCCAAGGTATTTTGAACATTTTTTTTCCAGAGGTTGGTTGAAGATAAATTTATTTATATAAATTTCAAATATCAAATAAATTTATCCGATATTTTTCATGCGTTGTGTTGTTCTGACGCATTCGTAGTATATGAACGAAACATCGGCTGTTGTATTGGCAGCCAGCTATTCATCGCAGGAATGAGATTTTTGTTTTGTTTATTTACCGAGATTTGTGAACAAGTCTACCACTGTGTAGACGAGAATGTTCGCCATTTAGTTTTACATTGTCAATACATTAGTTATGGAGATTTTTGTTTTGTTTATTTTTTGTTGTTTGTAAACAAATCTGCATATCTTTTTGCATTGTCTCTACACACTTCTTATGGACATGTACTATGTACAGTGGCAATGCAAAATAATAGGCAGATTTGCTTACAAACAAAAAAAAATAAACAAAACAAAAATCTCCATAACTAATGTATTGACAATGTAAAACTAAATGGCGAACATTCTCGTCTCTGCACATTTCTTATGGACTATATATAGTTTGTAGTGACACAGTGCCAGAATTGTTGACAAATAACGGTAAATGAACAAAACGAAAATCTCATTCCAGCAATAAATAGCTGGCAAATGCGTTAGAACAACACGACGCATGAAAAATATTGGATAAATTTATTTGATATTTGAAATTTATATAAATAAATTTATGTGCAACCAACCTCTGATTTTTTCATTCACATTCATTTTCCTGTGCATTCATCAAGTTCACGGTTACAATTGGTTTTTTTCCTATTCACAGAGTTTTGCAGAGTATTGCATTGGAAAACGTAATTCCGGCCATTGGAATTTTGGGCAAAGGTCGCGGCCCAAACAAAGTGCCTCTATATGCAATGGGTATGCTAATATTATCTTTGTACGAAATTTATGACGGAAATTGAAAATTGTATGCATTTTCAGGGGTAGTAGCTACGGTTACGATTGCATTCATCATGGTGGGTGACATTAATTTCCTTGCGCCGATTGTCACAATGCCCTTCTTGTTAACATATGCATGCATCGATTATTGCTACTTTGCACTGGCACAAACCTTTGACATCCAAACCAAACGTGAAGAGCGTTTTCGTATTCAAGCGCAGAGTCCTTCGTACGAAAGTCGAAGATATGGTGCAGTTGTGAGCGAAAACGATAATGATTTGGATCATTTGTTTCCCGAACGAACTCGTCATAAGCTTGGAGTGAGTTTGAAATTTATTTCGGCTGAAGTTTTTACAGATAGAAGAGATTTAGAATTTTATTTTTCTTTATTTTCTAAAGTATTCATCAAAACTAGTTATTTTCCAAATGAAATCATTCCAGCGCATAAATAATTTGATTAATGCAATTAATATATTTTGTCCACTCCTAAAGAACTCAAATGTTCAATCAAATCACAAGGTGCCTTCAAGAAATTCAAATCTTCCGAACAATATCGAGTCAACAAGCGATGATATTCAAAATAGCGGCGAACAGCATGGCTTAAATGATAGCGATGGTGTTACATTCCGTGGTGGTAATCAAGATTCAGTCAACAGCACAAATGCGCAAGTTAATGTTAACAATGACGACGACGAACCGATCGCACAGCCCATCGCCCCCATCCACTCGAAGACGAAAAATTGGTATTCAAACTATTGTAACCGTTGGGTGTCACTATTTGGTGCTATTCTCAAGATTGTCATCATGATGTTGGTCAATGTGTACTATGGAGCCACATGCATCTTTTTGGTGTTTCTCACTTGGTTCTATGTGTAAGTGCTCGCTATTTAATTATTTTGAAAAATTCCTTTTGAAATTCATTAATTAACAATTTGATCTAAATAGTGGTACGGCAAATCCAGCAGTGAAGCCAGGTCTAGCATCCGAGTTCCGCTTGATTGTTTGGCTCAAGAGCCTTATTATCCGATGCTTTGGGTAAGTTTGGCAAATATTCCAATTCGCATATACATCTAAAACTTATTACATTTCATGTTCCATTCAATTTTCATTCGCCAAAAATTCTCATAATTTTTTCGAATTTTCTTTTAGAAAACGATCCAATGAATTCGAACAAATTGTGGTTACACCATCGTGTCCCGGAGTTGATTTACGTTCCGATCAGATGAACGAAGAAAATGAAGATTTTTCATCACGACGCCGTTACCATCAAACCTCCATCATTCAGGGTCATTATGTTGATGACGTTTGATAACAATGATGATCTGATGAACCCCTCACTTATTATCATTCTGTATATTGTGTTAGAATTTTGCAACTAATACTGTACATTTTTATATTGTATTGTTAAGAATCTTCTCTCATTTTTTTTTGGGCAGCTAAAGCCATGAACCAGAAATTCTGATTTTTATTCGTGACACGAACAAAAATTGTACTATGCAATTAATTTATTAATGATGAAATCTACTAATCGAATCGTAATGTTAACTGTTGTTTCAATCAGATATAGAAGAAAAGAAACCAAGAAAAATAAAACTGTAATAAAGTCGGCAGCATTTTTGTGACCAGAAAGTAGAAGTGTTTTGATTTTATTGGAACAAATCCTCAACGATTGTCATTTCAGAAGAAGGTTCATGGTTGTAATGTCATCACATGTTGTAATTCACAACAAATATTTTTCAACATTTAAAAATCTAGGAAAAATTCCGGAAATCCAAAAATGCCAGTGAAAATGAAAAAAAAAATCCTTTGTTTTCAATGAATCTTCAAATCCCATCGATTCACCTATGGTACGGTAGTGACCTCTGCCATTTCAACGGCGTAAACTTGTTCTGTCATAAATTTTGCGTCTATTCCCCAGTCTTTTATTTTTATTTATTATACAAATTGTATTGAAGCGTTCACTTTTGCATCTCATTCAGATAGAGAGTTGCTGTTTTAACTGTTTGGAAAAGTTTGTGTGTGCATCGTATTGTGGCCGTGAAAAGTGATGAAAAGTCAACAGATTGAATGTGCACGAAGGTGGATGTGTTAAAAATGCAATAATTTTGTGCGCATATGGAGAAAAAAGCATTGCAAACGAGATTCGTTCTCCCTCCAAATGTGAATGGTCGATGCCGGGGTAGATTGTCTTTGTGTTTGCATGAAATTCAGTGGCAAAACGACGAGCCGTTTCAATTCAATTGGATACAAGCGAAACTCATTTGGTGGGGTGACAAATATAATTCAGGTGCCGCTTTAAAGTATGTAAGCCAATCATTGCGTTGTGATTTGCATTCCAAATGCATTTGAATAAAATTTATGTTTTGTTGCTATTTTCAGGCTAGATAATAAGAAGCAACTGCAAAAATCCTACGGCCATGTCACACATTACGATATCCTAACGAAACCGACACTGTTCAGAAACTATTTGCGGTCATCGGAAAGTGTTGAAGTGAGATTTTCATCGGGCATTTCGAATATAGATATTGGAAAAGCGAACATTCCGATTCCCGTTGAACTGATTGAGTTCTTCGATCAACAATCGTTCAATTCTACACAGAAAACAAAGAAATTTCGCAAAAGGTGTCACATATTCAACGCACAGAATAAAATCATGGGCGAACTTTTGGCTGAGTACGAATTGGTGCTCTACGATCGGGTATTTAGCGAAACTGAAATGGACAGTGAAATTCTAACAAACAAATGCACAACGAAGAAAAACGTCGGCATTGAAAATGATATGAATCAGTTCAATTTGGATTTAGACCATGGTCCAATTAGCTCAACAAAAAAATCGCACAAAAAGAAATCCAAGTCACCGCATAAGAAGATACACATCGAAAAACTAATTGACAAAGTACCAACATCGAATACAAAGCGATTGTCAAGCAAAGCAACCTGTGCATCACCATTGTTGAACTATTTAACTGGTCGACCACTTGCCGAGATCGAAGAAAATGAAGCTGTCAAAGCGATGCAATCAACATCACCAACTGAAAGTCTCATCAATTTCTTGAGCTACGATCTGAATGGCTTGTATTTACCCAAAAAAACCAACGATGCCGAATTGAAAGTGCTCAAGAAAATCGACTGTTTACGTGTTCAAGTGTATGATTTGTGTCTCACAAGAGCCGGAACACGAGAAATTCTATCGAAAAATGCAACAAACGAAAGTGGCTTCTCGTCCGGCACATTCTCAATCGACGTTGATTTGGATTCAATTTTAAGCATAAAATCACCGTTTGAGAAAAATAATGTATTTACAAGTAAAGTCACACGAATCTTCGGTAGTTCAATTGAAACACTGCCGCCGAGTGTCACCATCAATCGATCATCAGTGCATAAATTAAATGCATTCTGCATCAAAAGCCGTAGCTCCTATGCCAATGGGATAATATCATTGATAGTTCGTTATCGCGATATTGAATCGAGTGAATCGCGAACGTTGGGAACAGCTCAAATTCAATTGGCTGATGTGATTCAAGCGGCCAATTTGACATTCCGTCAGCAATGCCCAGTTACAACAACGATCAGTGAGATTATAATCGGTCGGCTCTCGGTAAAAGTCGAGCTTGGTTGTCGCGGTTTGCATTTTGGTGCCGATTTTCTTGAGGCAATCTCATCAAATGCCATTGATGGGCCTGTGCATTCAGTAGTGGCCAGTGAATGTTATAGTCATTTACAATATTCCAACAGAGAATATCCATTGAGTGCTCGGCTTTCGGAGGGGAGAGAGTGTTTAGATTCACACAAAAGCTATGAATGGCGTGACTATAAACATAGAGTGGGTGATTTGTTCTATGAAAACTGCGCTTACGATATTCACGACGATCAAACCGGAGACAGATCCGATAATCCATCGACACCGCTCAATCTGGATTTACAGTCAAACAATTCACAAAGAAAAAATGGCAGAAATGTAGAAAATATTGGAGACGATACGTCCGGTAGAGACGTTACTCATGCCTTAGGCAATGTCGATGACATGAGTGACGATGCGGGTGATGCACTGAACGGCCTATTCCATATTGGACAAATCAATTACTGCAGCTGGTATCAATCAACGGCGGACACATTCTTAGTGTGTCGCCCATTCTGGAGCGACTCGGCTCTCGTGACAGAGAACTGCCCAAATAAAACCAACGAAGAAAACTATCAATTGAATTATCTTGAGGTAAGATTAACTGCTTATTAACAGCAACCTAACGAAAGACAATGAAACTTGAGTTTTAAGGAAAAAAAATCACTGATGCATTTCTAATTGTACTTTATTCCAGTTATTTTCTGTGATATGCGACGAAAAGTTGTTTGAATCAACGAAACACGGCTTTATGAGCATTGAAGTGTGGCAACGAGGAAGTAATCAACCCGATGCATTGATTGGATCAGCAAAAGTGCCATTGCATCAATTTTTCATTGCATTTAATAACACCAGTATTCGGAATCATGTCAGCCAACAAGAAGTAACTGATTTTCACACATTTTTTCTTCACCAAATATTTCTACTTATCTAAATTGTCAACGATTTTGTCTTCAAAATGTAGCTTCCTGTGATTTCAATCGATGGTTGGGTGACGATATCCTATGCGGTCTCACCGAGTAACACGCCTGTTGGAACAGTGCAAGCAATTTTAGCCGTTGGAACGACAAAGCAGATCAATAATTTAAATAAATCCAAAAGTTTATTGTCATGTAAAAATTTCCTACAATTTCCACTCGATCGGTATCCTCAACAGCAAGCCACACCATCGATTGACGAAAGTAATCGCGAAAGTGTCAAATCGTCAATGTCACAATCCAATGATCGCAATAGTAATTTTGCCGCTATATTCAGTAATTTTATTGATACACTAGCATCAAGGCTTCCCGAGAGAAATGTGACAGCTAGCGAAACGGCACCAACCAATGATGCAACCACTCAAACCAACAATAGCGCCAATAATAGTCTAGCCAAAAATGATTCGGGAAAGTATATGAGACCGACGTCTGAATTGCTTGATGAATTGCAACGAGCGCTAGCCATGGCACCGACACCAGCTCAAAAAAGTGCCATTCAACATATGGTAATGCCGAATCAAGCACCACAAATTGAACAAAGCGTACCATCGGAACCGAAAAAAGCGACAATGTTTCGGGTGCATATCGAAATCGAAAGTGCTTTACATTTGCCATCGATGGCCGTGCATGTGAATAAAAAGAGTGGCAAACGAAATCGGAATGCAATCAATACGGCCAAGAAAACCAGCAGCTCTACTGAAATTCAACCCAGTGCATATGCAACATTTGAAGCCGCTGCCTCAGCTGCAACGCCCAATTTAATGGCATACGCCACGAATATCGTGGAAAATAGCTGTAGCCCGCAATGGAATAAACAGTTTGAAGTTTATTTACCGGTGGAATTTTTACAGAATGTAAGCTAAAGATCAAATTGATTGAAACGATTTTGTAGAATATTTCGTAGATTTTTTATATTTAATTTGCAATTTGCTTTAATTTTGAAATTCATTCTAATTTGAAGCATTTTTGAGCTTGACTAAAACGATTTACAATTTTCATTTTCAGGATGAAAAACGTTTTGTGATCCGTGTATGGCGTAAAATTAGCGATAACACTCCGAAAACTCGACTGATACCAAACTCATCGAATGATGTAACGATTGGCTTTGCTACGGTTGATTTATCGGTGCTGTTGGCCGGTCTGCCGACGATTAGTGGATGGTTTAACATAATCGATCACTCAGGATGCATTAACGGTCAGATAAAGGTAAAGCAATGATCTCTTCGAATCAATAGACACTTCTCAACTTTGAAACTTTTTTTTTTGGTTGAAAACTGAGTTCAACTTTTTAACTCTTTACTTTGTAACTATTCTCTTTCTTTTGCAAATTTTGTCTTTGAATAACGTTTGAAAAAAAAAATGTCTTTACCTAGATTCACATCAAACCAAAAGATGACATAACAGTTCATCAAAAGCGTCAGCCACAACCAGAAATGAATATATTATCTGCCGTCAATCAGCCATCGTGCGAACCGCTGAAAAGAGAACATTCTGAGAAAATGGATGAGGCTCCGTTGGAAGTGACATCGAAGGAGAGCCGAGCTGTGGATGATTCGGCTTTGAGTCGTGCTCTCAAGCGGAAATTCACTGAATTGGAGGAAATAACGCAACGCTTGCGAGCTCGCCTCTTCGATGTCACTGGCAATATGTCGATTGATCCAGACGATGAATTTGAAAATGATCTGAACACAATCCCGGACGAAGAAGATGACTTCGAAGAGTCAAATATAGCCAGCTCAATGAGTTTAGATTGGCTGGAGCACTGTCATAATCAAGCCTCATCCAATGATTCCAACAACCTGGAGCCATCAATTGCCGATGACATGCAGGATATCTTCGAATTTCTATCACCCGATTTTGGTGCCAACCAAAGCACACCGCCAAATCAATCCAACCCTATGAACATGGATTTTTTACACAACAAAATCAATGAACGTTTTAATGATGTTTTGAATGACAGGACCGCAGTCAACGAACGAAAAGAGGATACAATGCAAAATATTGCAGAATCTTTGCAAAAATCCGCCATCAATGATTGACAAAACCCCGCGAATTAAAACTATTTGAATGAAGCGAATTAAATTTGAGTTGTATGACCATTTTTGTGACATCATTTTTTGTCTGTCTGAAAATATGAATTTCAGTTCTAAATATAAAATAAATAAATATTGAATTTAGGTGAAAGAATATTACAAAGAAGAAAAAAATTCTATAAATAAATGGACGTTTTTTTTTTTGAAACGCTTACTTTTGCATTTCATTTATTTGAAACAATTGACAAATAACTCCATTCTTCTTTGTCTATCGTTCGTTTTTCTTTCCTGATTTTTTCAATCAAAAACTCGAGGCGGACCGTCGATAAAATCTGTAAATATATCCAATAAAAACAGAACTGACCATGCTGGACCCCTGATTTCATCGAGTTTCTCGTATATAATTTGAACATTCGTTTCATTTGTGTCATCACTTTTCATTACATCTACTAAAACACCAGGTAGTTTAAGTGCTGAAACGAAATGCTTGATGTCATCCATAAATAATCGGAGACCTGAGAAAATGGACATCTCGGTGTATCCCATTTTTGTACCAAACATCGAACGCATCATTGATAATTTCATGATATGATGATGAGTTTAACACAAATATCATCACGATCGTCTTTTCGAGGTTGGTATTTTTGTGCCATTTTCACTGGTTATTTCAAACTTTCATCAAGTTTGTCTCAAATAGTAGATATTGTTTGTGCAATGTTCAAATTGTTTCCCTAACAAATATGTATTTCAAGTCTGTATACAGAAAAAAAAAAGAATGTTTTCCGTGAAAAATGCCAGAAATCAACGATTTTTTTTAAACGTACAATTTTGCATTTTATGTGTCTGAATTGACAGTTCCAGTTTCCATTTGGTTTCAACGGGTGTAATTGGAGCAAGGTTTTCGGTATGACAGTTCACTCAAAATATTTTGGCGCTGTCACATCAAATAGACACACAACAAAGACGGCTCAAAGCCTAAAGAACCATAGTTGGCGGCTAAATCGCCCGAAACATTTTCGTGACTTTAATTTTGGACAACAGAAGGATTGTGTTAATTGTTAATTTGTTTGAATATATGAATGTTGAAAAATGGCATTGCAAGAAGCGCCCGACTCAATTGATGTCACGGTAAGAATAAGTTATTTTTTTTTTGTTACATTGTAAATATCTGTTTAAATTGTAGGTTATGTGTTGTGGTAAAATGTTTATCATTTGTTTTGTTTCCATCATATTTTTAGGACATTCAATTTAAAGTGCATAGTAAATATCAGTTGTTTAACATAAATGCGAGCACACCGAATTTCAATGGCATCGATTTATTGGCAACGGCTAGCACATTCGGTTTGGTCATCGTTGGCAGACCGTCTGCACAAGAGATACAAGGTTTGAAATCGAATTCTTCAACAATTTTTATTCGGAGTTGATATGTTTCTAAAGAGATTCAGTGATTTGAATAATCATTTCTCCTATAATTTCTGGTTTTCAGTCCTTCAATTGAGGGATGTGGTGGCAAACAAAGAATCGTCGACAATTCCAGTTCGATCGATCAACATACCCGGTGAACCGTATATACTGGCACTTAGTTGTGATCACACCATGCTGTCTGTGTGCTACATAGCCAATGGAATCTCCTTCATGGACATATACGCCGTGCAATCATTTTTATCGAACGTAAGTTTTAATCACGGTTGATTGGAACGATGCCAATTTTATAGATCAATACGTTAAATGATCAACAATTTCTTCGTTTCTTCTCAGAATGTGGCATGTGTCCTGTTAAAGACTATGCTATCAAATACAGCAAAAGTGAAGCAGATTCTGTGGAATCCAGTTATCGCAAACACATTGGCTGTGTGCCTCAGCGATGGTACGCTTGGTGCTTATGTCATCAAAGCAAACAGTTTTGAATACAATTCATTGGATAAATCAGAAAATGCACGGTAAGCAGTAGTTTTGATTGAGTTTTTTTTTATTTGGAAAATCAATGGCTTCATTTTCTAATATTTTAGCTGTGCTTGTTGGAGCCCAAAAGGAAAGCAGATCGTTGTCGCCTTTCCAAATGGAAAATTGGCACAATACAAACCAGACTTGAAATTAGCAAAAGCAATACCATGTGCAACGCGATTATTTGACGCATCATTCTCACCGATTGCTGTTCAATGGCTATCGACGTATCAATTTGCAGTTGTATTTGTCGAAGATAAAGTAGACGCCACTCAATGTAATTACAAAAATATATGCAATTATTGTTTTCGCTCTTTTTCCCATTTTTTTTTTCTTTCTGAATCAATCAATTCATAAACTCTATTCTCATCAATAGCATTGTTCATTGTGAATGCACCAAAAACAACGCCACCCACCTACATCAACTATTATGATATAACATACAGTCAAACTGGACCCAGAGCGCCTCAAGTTTTTCTAATTCACATTTTGCAATGGTAATGAATTCAGTTTTTTTTGCTATATCTCTCGTTTACAGCTTTATTTTGTGTTGCTAGTCTATTTTTTTTGCAAATTAAGTTAAGTGGGTTCAGTTAAAGAATAATCTGAGTGATAATTCGTACACTAATTGCATAGTTTTTGTTGATAAAAACAGGAATTTACTGCTGATGGCTTCATCAAATGGAACCGAAATCGGAATACTAGGCACAACTGAAGCGGGAGAAACACCCTTATGGAGACAATACACATTTGTACGTATATTTTTATCCATTAACTGATGCATGAATCATTGAAATATTGAATGTTATAGCTATAACTAGAATTAGATACATATCACTACGAAAATATCGCCAAATTTCGTATTCAATTTTAAATAGATTGACGAAGGACGTGCTGAACTTCCATTGACAGCTGATAAACAAGATACATTTCCGATTGGATTAGCGCTTGAAACAGGATGCACACATCAGTTAATCATCGGTAAGTTTTTCTTGATTTTTTTCTTCATACAAAGCAGAAAAAATGCAGTAATAATTCAGTAGAAAAAGTTAAAAAAGACTATATTCGATACTGTGCCATTGAACCTATGAATCATTATTCTCTGAACTTTTTTGTATGTTTAGGTGAAAATCAGATCCCAGTAATGCCAATGCTGCATATTCTATCGACACACGGATTCCTCTTATCATTTAATCTACTGAATTTTCAACCAACTAGAGTTGATATCTGTTCACCACCACAAAATCTACCCGACCAATCAGGATTGAGTTTGTTCCGACAAAGTGCAGTGGATGCAAAGCCACCTCAAACAGCCACACCAGCACCTTCGTTGGCTAATGTTACGAAAACTCTATCATCGAGTGATTTGCATGTGAACAACCTAACGTTTGCGATACCTGAGACTGGTGCCACATCAACACCGGCAAAACCACCGCAATCACAAGCAAAGCCAACATTTGGTTTATCTAACGCGGACACACAACAGCCAAAACCAGCGATGACAAGTTTATTTGGTGGAGCATCTTCCGGTGGTTTTGGATCAAGTGGATTTGGTTTGGGTGGGTCAAAAGAAGTACCGAAACCATTTGCACAACAACCATTTGCTGCTGCTGCTGCTGCTGCCCCAATACCAGCACCAACCGCGACGGTTCCACAAAATAACGTTGCAAGTATGGCAAAAGTTCCAACGGAAGCAAATAAACCATTTTTAACCGTCCAACCGAATTACAAACCGGCATCGCAGACAAGCAAGTGAGTTTGGTCAATAGAAACAATTAAAGCAGTTTTTTTTTAAATTCAATTCCATTGATACGAAGCAAATATTTACATAATGTTAACATATTTGATTTGCATTCGAAAATTAGAAGCTCCACTAGCGGTATTATGTCGAATTCAGAAAATGATGCGATTTTACGAAGATTGATCAAAGATGAAATCGAAGCGTTTGATAAGGAAATACGAGAAGCGCTTGCTCGCTCGAAAAATATTCAAATCAATATCTGTGGCAAAGAAGAGCTCAGCAAATTGATCAAGAGCATCGATGAAATGCAGGAAATTACGTCACAGGCCACGGAAAGTACTGAATCGATCAAGGCTGATGTAAATTCGTTGCGATTGACACTGTACGAAATGCACGCCATGATGGCTGAAGCACAGAGCAAAGTGGAGGAATTCAATAAAATGGGGTAGGTTTGAGATTTTCATCTATGGTAGAAATCAAATTTTCCAATTACTGCCATTGTTTTCAATACACAGTAAAACCAGCGATGGCAACTCGGCCGCAAATCAAACACATCGACGACTCATCAATAAGCTACAAAATCAATTGGCACAAAATCAAGCGCGATTTGATGTGTTTAGCAAACAGTTGGACGCCAATTGGTCGGCTCATTTGCAAAATCAGCGCGAGAATGACAGGTGAGTGTACTTTGACTAAGCGTTTTTCTTTTTCAGTAAAAGGGACATCATTCTTTCCACATTGGAAGAGATGAAGCAATGAATAATTCTACAACTGTTTAATTCTCTTCTGTTCATCCCCTTGTTCTAGAGCACGAATGCGTATCCCAACGCTGGAGAATGTCTACCAAACGTTGGAACAACAGCATCAGATTTTGCTGAAGGAGAAGACAAAAATCAATAAGATCAAAGCGAAGATTGGCGTTCGTGAATCGTCGCCCCATAAAATCAAATACTCTTATTCAAATACTGACAATATGTACGTAGCTTTTCAATGTTCATTTAGTGCAATCTATTTCAAACACTTTGAATTTATCATTTCTGCAAAAAAAAAACAACAACTTTTGAGTCGACTTTCGTTATTCAACAAGATATCTTTTGTTTATCCCATCAATTTCCAGCAAAATGAATTCGCTCGTCGATTCAGTGCTATCGTTGACCATTGGAGATCAAATAAAAAATGAACGAAAGGTATTGAATGCAACGAAATTGGATGCATTACGCAAATTCACCGTGGGAAGTCGAACGGTCAATTTTATCAAACCATCGCGACCGGATCGAAAGGGATTTAATTCGGAAATCATTATCGAAAAGAAACTCGCTGACGGTAGGTCGAAAGTGTACATATTAAATATGAATCACAGTGTTCAATTGCATACATTTCAGTGAAATGATTTCACTTCTGAACTTCAATTGACTTTTTTTGTTCATTTCATTTGATAGCCAAAGCTAAAAAGGAAAAGGAGAATTTGAAGAAGGCTGAATTGGAGGCAGAACGAGCAAAACAAGAAGAATTGGCAAAGCAAAGGGAATTGGCCAAGCCAAAGCCGTTGCTTGCAACACCGTCTGCTCAACAGGCAAATGTGTCATTGCTAGCTAAACAGAAGGAAGTGGTAGAGAAGCAAACACCGCTTGCCGTAAAACCAACAACGACCATACCATCTTCGTCGATCGGTTCATCGTTATTCGGAAGCTTGGCAGAGCCCAACTTTGGATCGCCACAGATCACATCAACTTCAGCTGCAAAGCCAATTGAAACGAAACCAATTTTTGGTGGTGAAAAGACACAATCACCATTTGGAATTACAAACGAAAAATCTGCTACAAAGCCAACGGAACCAATGCTCAATTTGAACACAAGTCTGAGTGGTAGTTTGAGTAAGACGAAATCATTTGACACAGCATCATCGGCAACCAGCGGATTTTCATTTGGTACCAAAACTGAGCCGGCAAATATTTCCAGTTCAACGGCATCGACTGGCTTTTCATTTGGTGCATCAACTAAAGCACCGACGTTTGGTTTAGCCACCACACAAACCAAATCCGATGCATTGAATTTGACAAAACCGGCCACATCGATTGCAAATGGGGCAAAATCGGCGCTCCTGCAAACTCCAAAAACGACTGCAAAGGAGTCCGTACAAACAACAACGCCTGTCGCAACATCTGGTTTTAATATCACACCGAAACCAACAGTGAAATCAGCGCCATTGCTGGCCACACCAAATATTCCACCGCAACTACCGTCTATTGCGAATCCGTCGAATGCTTTCAAATTCGATCTTCGCAACGAATTCACTTCACCATCAAGTGACAAATCAAAAGTGGACAAGGAAAATAGTCCGATTGTAGCCTCGGTATCCATCGCTAAAAGCCCTTCGATAGGAAACTTTTCATTTTTGTCGGCTAGTTCCACGAGCGTAACATCGTCACCGTCATCGACCAAATCAAGCACTCCGGTTTTATCCACAGTGCAACCGTCACCGGTCACTTCATCCACATCCATTTCTACGCCAGTTTCAACACAAATTTCGACACCAGCCCCAGTAGCAACGCCTAGCGCAATTGAATTCAGTTTTGCAAAGGCAAGTGCTGAATCGTCTTTTGGTGTTAGCACAGCAACTACAAGCGTCACGACTACCACACCGAATGCAGCCGTCAGCAGCACGGCCGATGCTTCATCGATTTTCCAAGGATTCAATGTCTGCAAACCAAATGTGGCTGAAAAGGAGAATTGTAAGTGATTCAGCAACCGATTCAAGAACAATTCAAAAATTTTACAATAGAAAAAAAAACGTTTTAATTCGAATGATTACCTGGATTTTCATGTCAAATGTTTATTTCTTCTAAAAACATATTATTTTCAGCTGGTAAGAGCCTATTCTCAACAAATTCCTTTGGCTCATTGGGAAATGCCACATCGCCAACCAGCACAGCATCGGTTTTTGGAGCAAATGCACAGACTCCTTCGCCATCCGCTCAAACCAGCATATTTGGCGGTCAAGCGATAACAACAAGGTATGTGGCAAATTTTCTCAAAAATTTCAACGGAATGTGATTTCAAACTTAACATAACTATGACTATCGCTGTTTTTTAATTCCATTACCATCCCATTCACCATTTCAATATTTCCCTTTTACCTTCAGTGCCAGTACACCTGTAACAGCCAGTACCACGTCCGGGTTTGGCGTGAATTCACCCGAAACATCAGCAGCTCAGCCAGCGGCTGGCGGAAACATATTCGGTTCGAAATCCGTGGAAAGTGCTTCATTGTCGTTTGGAGGCTTTGGACTTGGATCAACAACACCAGCCGCATCGACTACTAGCCCATCAGCATCGACGGGAAATATTTTTGGCGGAGCTGTTGCTGCAAAACCAGCTTCAAATATCTTTGGTGGTGCCAATGCAAACAATAACACGAGCACTGCTTCGATGTTCGGTGGTGGTGGTGGTGTAACGCCATCCTCGCCATCAAATGCATTCGGCTCGTCTGTATTTGGCAATGCAAACAATACCATAAACGTATTCGGAGGTGGAAATACTGCTACATCGAGTATGTAACTTATACCAATGCCAATGTTTGCGAATAGCAAAAAGTTTATTATTTTTTTTACTAATCAACAATTGTTTTTCCAGCTGCTACATCGCCAACGTCAGGTTCGATGTTTGGTGGAGCTTCATCGAATCCATCTTCGGGAGGTTCAATTTTCGGCGGTTCGACTAGTTTCGGCTCATCGCAGCAGACACCGTCCGCATTTGGAACGTCTACATTTGGCGGTGGAAGTAGCGGCGGTGGTGCTTTTGGTGCTCAAACTTCGAATGCAACAACACCATCAGCATTTGGAGGTGGAAGCTTCTCGCAAGCAACATCGAATGCACCTGCATTTGGCGCTCAACCCGGGTTCGGATCACCGGTATGTTTTAAACAAGTGCATTTTTTTTCCATGTTTTCCATGGTTTTTACACAATGTTTTTTTTTCTTCAAAATTTCTGTTTGAATCAATTTTAGTTTGGTCAAGTGAATCAACAGCAACCGCAAGCTGGATTTGGATCACCACAGCAACAGCAACAACAATCTGGTTTTGGTTTGAGTGCGATTGCAGCCCAATCGAATCCAACATTTGGATCAACAGCTACATTTGGTGCAGCGCCAACGTTTGGCAGTCCAAAAAGTGGTTTTGGCACATTTTCCAACGTAAATCCAAACCAAACATTTGCAACACCACAAAAGAATTCACTGTTTGAAAGTCTTGGTTCATCGGAAAATACAATGACCTTTGGAAATTTGGCACATCAGAGTCCAACAAATGCAGCGGCCACTCCGAAACCATTCTCCGGCGGGTGAGAACATTTAAAGAGCATAACACAATGAACAAAAGAAATTAATCACAATTTCTCCAAAACATTTTCAGGTCATCATTTTCAAGTTGGCGCTAATCGTTACGATGTATGAATTTAACCGTTTAAATTGGGAGGAAGTTATGAACGAATATAGATATAAGTTTATAATGGATTATTATCGTCATTTAGAATGTATTATTATGAAAATAAAGCGAATAAAAAATACGTTGATTTGACATTAAAATGTCGCATTTTTTCTTTCTTTTTTATTTTTTGTAAGAAAAATTCGGAAAATGTTCCAACCAATTCGGTTTGTATGGATTTCATATTCCACCTGTCCATTGGACAAATGAAACACGATGACATTGAACATCAAAATAACACAGCTGTCACCGAATGTGTCAAACGTAATGAGATAAACATTGTGATACTGTTAATTCGTAAAGTGTTTTTCTATACTAAAAAAAAAAATGGTTTCTTTTGCAAAAATTCCCGATTTAGTTGGATATTTGGTCCTGACCGAGTATGGAGCGGTTCTGGAAAGTGACGGTGACCTGAAAAATGATGAGAATTGTGCGAATATCGTGACGTCTATCATTAATTTGGCTGATAGGTACGCCCAAAGATACACAGCTTTTTTTTCATACTATTTTCGATTCATGCAATTGAAATGCCTGATTTCGATGTGGAACATTTATTTTGATCATTGCTAAACGTTTCCATTTCAGTGCTGATGAAAACACATTACCAAAAAGTGATTGCCACCGAATATCAATAGTCTTTGAAAATCACAGCTACACAATTTGCCTGTCAAACAAAAAGATTTATGTGGCCAAACGTGCGGTTCGAGGAGTAAACAGTCAACAATCGTCGCCACCCACTGCTATTGGATTCCAACCCGAAAACAAAGGCCCGAATTTGGACTCAACAACACAACAGTCATCGGCATAATAACATTAACTTTTCCATCGAAAAAATAAAAGCCATATATTTTTTATTAGCGTTATCAATCGTGTGTTTTATTTCAATTTCCTGTGAACATGCCACAAGATTGCAATAACATAAACATCGCAAGTTACACTGACCGGTTCATTTCCGGTAAAATCGCCATTTTGAAAACGAACCCTTTGATTTTAACCGATTAAATCACGGTTTAGTTCGCGCTATTTTTGCGTTAGGTACGAATTGACAGTTGGCCGCAACAGACGCATAGAACGAAATTCATTTTTATACATTTAGTTACATAGAGCAGATTCGGAGTCAACGTGATTCAATTCGATTTGGCATTCAAAATGGATCGGCAAACAAGAAATGATTTCATTCGTGCGAATTTTGTCAAAATATTTACTCTTACACCGCAGCTTATGGAATCAATCAGAAAACACAGTTTGGCAGCCGAACAAAGTGCAATGAGTCTTGAGCCGTCGTTGAATGATCAAATGGGAAATCTCGAAAAGTGAGTATACAAATTTTTGCAGACAAAAATCAATGTACGAGAATGGAAATTGATATTTGTTTCTTCTTGCTCATCTTGAATATCACAGTGAACCCATCGAGGAACCCACCACCGATGCGAATGTGAATAACGGATTGATATCAAGTAACCAAGCCGAAGATCAGCCCGTTGAACAAGTGAGGTGAGTGAAGGCCATTGCAAAAGATATTTCAATAGAATAGCAACTGATTTTTTTTTCTCGATCATTTTGATTTTAATAGCAACAGTCGGAATGGGGAATCCGTTCAAAATGCTGCAGATCCAATCGAACTGCTTTTGCAACCAAATGCGTCAATTCAACCAGAGCAACGGACAACAATTTTGGCGGCTATTCGACACATTTTACACGATGACATACACATTTTGAAGGAAACTGCACACGACAGCTGGGTTTGTGTGCACAACATGTCGAAAGGAAAAAAATCACCACCAAAAGTCATATTGTATTGTCCGCACCCAGACTTTGAAATAGTTCGATTCCACGAAAACGAAAAGGCACAAATTGATACTTTGTTCAAAATGGTCAAGGGCAAAGCACGAAATGGTCTCGCATCTTACAAATGCTCAAAAGCAAATTCGCCACAAGATCAGTTTTTTTTCGTGTTGGTGTTTGCTTTATGCATTGTCATGGGACAATCGGTAGATAATGTAGATAGTGGTCTGCGCGATAATGCCGAAAACGTTCGCAAGTTGATTGTTAAATCATTGTTGGATCGTGCATTGCCGTCTGATGCATCGAACAAAGACATTTGGTTACAGCCCGTGTCAATCAATCGAGATGCAAATGGACCGATTGCAGAATCAAAGTAAGTATACGATTTTTTTTTTATGAGAATGAATATTCATTCGCAGCTATGATAAATGATTTTTTTTCTAGCTTTAGTAGCGAATCAAACATCGAAATGAGCATGGACAACGAATCGGTTCCAGACGATGCAGTAGGAAAGAGAGATGCCATCAAACAGCTATTGCAGTCAAGTGAATTGTCACCAGCAAAACGGGAATTCATTGTGTCAACTGCAAATCGTATGTTACCCGAAAATATTCGGATTTTGCGGGACTCTGGTCATGATGGTTGGGTTTGTGTCCATTATGATCCGAACGAAATCGATGAAGAAAAAACACGAGTTTATGTCTACTATCCGTACTCGAAATTCGAAAATAGTAAATTCAAGGAAGAAGACAAAGACAAGATTGTTGAATTGTACGAGAAGCCAGGCTTTAATCCATTAGAAGTGACGGCATATCGACAAATCTTGGAAAATGTCCGTAACGTTAGTCGGAAAGATGCATTAGTGTTCACACTTGCATCGGCATTTTCCATTGCCATGGGACAAAAGATGGATGCATTCAAAACTGCTTTGGGCGTCAATAATAGCACCGAGCATGTTCGCAAAGTGGTTGCTGGAATACTACTAAAAGGTGCAACACTTGATACTACCAATGCAAACGTTTGGATTCGCTCATGAATCACTTTTATTATTCACGCAATATTTATTCATTGGGAAGATGGTCAACGTCAATAATTGTAAAAAAAAATTATTCCTTGAGATTGAGAGTCATGGGCTCCATTCTTTATGCTAATATCCGCTAAGATTAATTTTTTTTTTCATATAAATCAGTTTTACAAAAGAGCCGAATTAAAAATACAAAAAAAAAATGTTAGGCTGTAAGCCACTCATATTTCAGTTTTCGAATAAAAGATTTTCATAAAATTGTTCAGCCATTCAGTGTAGTACATTTATTTTCGATTCAATGAAAGACGACGAGACGGTATCACATGGTATGTACGTAGGCTTCAGGGTGGAAACAGACAAGTTCCTTGATTTTAAACAGGTATTGCAATGAATGTGACTTAGATTGATTGCAACAAATATCAATCCGATGGAAAAAGAATAGATACAAAGCAACAACTGAGAGCAAATGACAACTTAGCAAACGATGATAAGCAAAGAGAATCTGCACTTATTCGGCAATATAAAAGGTATCCGAATGTTTTGGTTTTTCTTAACAAAATAATCTGAAAATGCTGGATTTCAGCAATTATTTTGACTAAATTATTACCTAAACTTCATTCTTTTGAATAAAAATCAAAACTTTGACAGTCCACATTAAAAAAGTGTCTCAATGCAACGTGAGAATATCAACGGCAAAAACGTCAGATTCAAATATCTCCAATACATCGTCGACGGTTATGTGCGCCTGTTCTGACATTGTCTGCGTTTAGTCAGTAAACGGTCCGTAATGTTTCATCGTGCGTTTTTGCTCACATACGTTTGTCACGATTGTCAATCGGTATGTTCGTGTTCGTTCTTTGCTCTTCTTTTCTCTCGCACGGAAATTGTAGCAAAACCAAAACAAAGATACGTCTATTCATTGCTTCTCCACATTTATCGAATGAACAAAGACAACCGTATTTGTTGGTTGAATATTTAATGTCTTTTTGCTTTGTCATAAATGGAATTGAAGTTCAAGTGCATGCAATAATTTCTTTACGAAATGTTTGACCGAAGTAGAAACAATTTTGTCGAAGAAAAAATGAGTAAAAAAATCTGAAATCAATGGAAAATGTTAAATGTTCGGTCTCTTTCCGATTCTATTGTATGATCGTGGTGCATTCTTCATACTTTCACGCAAAACGAAACTCTTTCTCTTTCACACACCATTTGGAATAGATTTGTCTCCGGTTGGAGTTGTCTTAAGTCTATCTCACTGAAATATATTGCGAAAACGCAACGGCAAGTGAAATGAAATCATCTTTGTTATTAGGCGATCAGAAAATCCAACACAAACACATGCCGAATGGTCAGCTGTACACTTACATTCGATTTCTATAGCTATCTCTTTGTTGTCATTTCTCTCCAACTCACCGGAGAGAATTGCGCCATGGAAAAAGAAAAAATTAAAACGGTTCGACCCCGAAAAAATCGAACATCGACGGGAAAATGAATAAGTCGTTCGTTCGTTGGTTCGTTTGTCGCACATGTTCTTTTATACACACACACAATTGTGGTTTCGATGCATCCATTCGCTAATTCACAACGAAAAGTGGAACAGCGACCGGGAAGCCGTTTCAACTGTTGGGCCTTTTGCGTCATCATAGCATCAACAGAGTTCAATTGAGAACAGGCAATCATGAACAACAACAGCCTATTGTTTGGGTTGTCACATTTTCGTGTCAACAAACCGTGAATCGGTGATGTTTTACTATTTTATGGGCTAACATTTTTTGGATTTTTCTTTCTCTCAAAAGTTATTGTTATCATTATCACAAAAGATTGGGTTGGTTAGAAATTCAAATTATTTTTTATTTTAAAAATAATGGTCAAACTTCATCAAAACGATTCGAAATGGCCGGTTTTGACGGTGTATTGGGCATATTCTTCCAGTCTTTGTGTGTTGAAACAGCAAAAAGAAATATGGAAGTGTTAAATGTGTTAAAAGTGTCGACGGCGACGACAACCACAACGTTGGCAGTGAAAAAATCGTGTGAATTAGTCAAGACGATGTGGTGTGACAATGGTATTTTGCCTGAACCGATATCATCGTCATATAAATTGGCTGCTTGGCAAAATTGAATGCATAATTTCAGCCTCCTTAACATGCTTGATTGTGGATTAGGATCGCATAATATTGGTGGCTAGTGAATTGTGTATGTGAAAAGTGCTCCTTTTTTTTTTTAAATAAGTCTCATCTACACTTCTACCGTCGATCGACTCAATGTTCGAAATTCAACCACTTTGCCGGTCGACGTTTTAAATGTCAATTAAGTCCGAAAACCATCGGAAAATGTTGGAAATCACTCGAAAAATTTCTATAAAATTATCAGAAGTTCCATCGAAATGGGCAAGCCCACTTGAGAGCGAGAAAGATAGCCAGCAGTTGACTTTATCGCACTCATGACATGCACAACGAAAGAGATGGCGTTTTGAAACAGAACGACGATTCATGAGCAGTGTATTTCCATTCACTTGCTCCAAAAGCACTCATTTATACGGCGCACAGAATTGCCAGCAAACCATCCATTGATACACATATATCGGTTTCGCCGTTCGCTCGCTCGCTCTCTCTTTCTCCTAATTATCAGTGTCCATAGTCTAAATGCATTCGTTCTTGTGAAAAAAATAAAACTTTGCTCAAGTTATTATACAGAAAACTGTTTACTCTCTTAATCCAATGGTGAAATGAATTCAAGGTAGAGTGCAAGAGCTAAAGCCATTAAACTCTCTTCCTTCGTTTGGAATATATTGGGTTCGGCGATGCCCACTGTTTGAGCACTGGATTTCGTTGTACATGTTTTGAATTATGGAATTCGAAATTAGAACATAACGAATGGAAAAGGTTTTCGTTGCTGCTTTCGTTTCCATTACGTTTCGAATTTGTTTCATCTTCATTTGGCCGAATGACTGATGGGTGATTTTATACTGAACGGAGCTCGATTTAGCCGAACAAAGATTCTTTTTGTTTTCGGGCAAAACCGCAACAAATTATTTCAAAGGAAATAAACGCATTTGACCAATTTATAATCCGTTTTCCAGCAGCAGCAGCAGCAGCAGTAGCATTTTCGAAAATTATTTGCATGGTTTCGATTTTTTTCTCAAGAACTTGAAAACCGAAATGCAAAGCATGAAAATCGGTTTGTGTGACGATCAAGCCCAACTCATCCTAGCCGTTCAGATCGATCAACAAATCTCAGTGGGTTGAAAACAGATGAATATCAATTTCTGGATAATTTTTCAGTTCCACAATTGTTTGTTTTCCCTTCTTCTGGTATTCCATAAAAATTCACATTTTCATCGCATTTCGTTTTCCGTTCGGCAATTCCAACCCAAATGTGTTGAATGGCATCTGAAAACCGATTGTAGCCAAATGAAACAATTGAAAAAAAATTGGCGCGATTCGGAAAAAAGGGTTTAAAATGGAATGAAATTCGGAATGGGCGAACAGGCGCACATAATTCCCAGTACACACATTGACTGCATGCAGGTTCCAATTGTTGACAGTATCGCGCAGTTGCCAGCACACACACATATACACACAAATACCATGCTACCAAAATTCAGCGTTGTATTGGTGAGCGCTCGGTTCGGAGTCAATAAATGTGTGATTCAAACAAAACAAATGGATTTGTAGAACGAACGGAGAAACGTCAACTCATATTTTTGAAATGGAAGCAAATGCTCCTCAATTATGAACTCAAGTGTTACCTACACATCGAACGTGTATGTATACATGTTTTACGTCTATGTGTATTTCTGCCAACGTGTTGTTTATTGTTGATGCTCAGCCTCATATCGAGCTATATTCCACGCAAGTGCCACTCGCACACAAACACACGCATACATATGCAACACACAATAGCATTATCAATCGTTTTCACGTAGCAGATTTCGGTAAACTAAATGTCAAACTATCGTTTTCATTTTATGCCGAATTCGTATTGCTTGCGTACAACACTTCTTCCTCTCTTACGTTCAAAAACATTGTGCCCACTGTGTGTTTGCTGATTAGACAATTGAATTTTTCCAATTCCAAAAAGTGACTACGTCTATGGTACAGAAAAAAAAATACGTGTCCTCTTTTTGAGTACAAAAATATTTCATGACAAACTTGTGTTTTCTTCCAATGTTTTCGGTCATTTGAATTCGAGTTTATTTTCTCGTTTTTTTTCCTTTTCAATTTGGTGACTTGTTTTGTTTTCATTTGTTAGGCTCGGAATCGTAAAAATGCCGGCAACAACAGCAATTCAAATTCGACGGGGAATTTGAATAAGAGCAGTAGTAGCACAGGCAGCTCTGGATCTCCATCGTCAGTTGGTCACGGCAATAGTCATCCGAAATCAACTAACAAATCGAAAAGCCATTTCATTGTAATGACAAAATGGCGATGGCTTTTCGGATTTGGTTGCCTACTTATCCCGGCCTATTTTGGCTATCTAGGATATTTGGAAACACGGGTTAACACACCATTTGATGCAAAGAAAGTAAGTTTTGATTTAAAAACAATTCATTGGTAATTCGAAAATAACACAACAATTGCCTCCATTGAAGATGGTACAACACACTCCGCATGAGTTTACGGAACGTTTTTGGGGCTCATATCGGCCGGGCACTTACTTTGGATTGAAAACTCGCGATCCAGACTCACTTGTTATGGGATTAATGTGGTTTTCTCCGTTGCGGCTTGGATCGCGTGGCGAAGGCATTCGGTGAGTCAACACAACGTGGTTTTTCTTGAAAAAATTGAACTATTGAATAAAAATGCGATTCAAAGAGTCAAGCACAACGTGCAAGTTCAATGTGGAAATAAACAAATGGGCTGAACTTCAATTTGATTCTTCGATTTCTTTTTTGTAATTTAAAGTGTTTTTAGGTTTTTCAATAATTGTATTCCAAAGACAAACTCAACCCTTGATTCTTCCACAGACACTGGTGTGAAAGCGGCGATAATCTCGACAAATATGGTTGGTTGCAGCACGATGGCCGTACATTTGGTTACCAGGAAATCGACGATTTTCCATTCACGTTGGAAACGTCGTTCGTGAAATTCCCTCGTGGAACAAAAGGTGGCGATTGGACGGCTCGCATTTCAGTGAAAAACAATTTTCCCAACAGTGCCGAGCCAATTTCATTGATATGGTATGTGGCGCTCGACAAGAAAACGGTTGGATCATTGACCACATCATCGAGTGTATCGTCAGCATTGCCATTGGTACGCGGTGAAACATCGACTCTGGGTGATTTCATATTGAATTTCGAGCCAGTCAACGGCACTATCAAACATCATTCATACTTGGCCACCGTTGTACCGAGCTTGCGTTATTTGCGAGAAACCCTATCATCCGTGATATACTTTGCCAAAGATAAGGCTTCAAAGGAGAAAATCTTAGTTTTGCCGGGTGAATTGCTGCGTAATAACCAAGGTGAAATGTTTGATGCCAATTTCATTGCTGTCATGATAACAGTAGAGGCTCCATTCACATTGGATATTGCCTATCGTTCGTTGAGCGATTTAAAATCAAGCGGAAGTGAATTGCCTGCAAATGCACCGGTCGGTGAATTGTACACGAACGCCTTGCGTGCAAAACAAATCGAATTCCATGATCGATTCGAGAAGACATTTCGGCTGAAGGAAAAGGGTTACACGCAAAGCGAAATTCAATTTGCCGAGGCGGCCATGAGTAATATGGTTGGTGGCATTGGTTATTTCTATGGTTCGTCTCAAGTGCAGAGTGAACGAACGGCGATGCCAGTGCCATATTGGAAGGCGCCTTTGTATACAGCCGTTCCATCGCGTAGTTTCTTCCCGCGTGGTTTTCTCTGGGACGAAGGCTTTCACGAGCTATTGATCAGCACATGGGATGTTGATATTGCATTGGATATCATGTGCCATTGGTTTGATTTAATGAATGTCGAGGGTTGGATTCCAAGAGAACAAATCCTCGGCGAAGAAGCGCTGGCCAAAGTGCCCGATGAGTTTGTCACTCAACGCAATACCAATGCAAACCCGCCGACATTCTTCCTCACATTGAAGCTAATCATCACGAAATACGCTCATTTACTTACGGCAAACAATCGATTGGAGACACTGGAACGTTTGTATCCACGCTTACAGGTTTGGATTAGTTGGTACAATACAACACAAATTGGCAATGTGTTCGGTACTTATCGTTGGCGTGGCCGTGAAACGTTCAAAGACAATGAGCTCAATCCAAAAACGTTAGCATCCGGTTTTGACGACTATCCACGTGCATCGCATCCCGATGAAATGGAACGGCATGTCGATTTGCGTTGTTGGATCACCTTTGCAACGGGTGTCATGGCCGAATTGGCACATTTACTGGGCAGAGATGATTCAAAATATCTTGAAACCCATTTCTATCTCTCGGACAATGCGCTATTGAACAAATTTCACTTGTCGCCGCATACAAAAACCTATTCAGATTGGGGATTCCATACGGATGCCGTGGCACTGAAAGCCATACGACAAAATCCACATCATCAACATCCACAGCAAACACTACAGAAAATTCGTGTGCATCGAACACCGCCCGAGTACAAATACGTTGACACATCGTTCGGCTATGTCAGCCTGTTTCCATTCCTGATGGAAATTTTAACGCCCGATTCACCGTACTTGGAGAAAATCCTTCATAATATTCACGATCCCGAAGTGTTATGGACAAATTATGGGCTGCGTTCGTTGTCGAAACAATCACCAATGTACATGAAACGAAATACTGACGATGATCCACCGTATTGGCGCGGTCAAATTTGGATTAACATCAACTATTTAGCGCTAAAAGCGTTGCATCATTATGCAACACAGCCGGGCCCATACAGTGAAGATGCGAAACGTATTTACACCGATTTACGGCACAATGTGGTGCGAAATGTTATCGATCAGTACAAACGTTCAGGGTACATTTGGGAACAGTATAACGATTCAACGGGCGAAGGTTCAGGCTGTAAACCATTCACCGGATGGTCGGCACTAGTTGTTCTCATCATGGCCGAGCAATATTGAAAAAAAAAAATTGAATGAACAAAAGAGATAATTAACTAATTTAATGAACAAGCACCTCAATAGCAATCTTCTAAAATAGTAGAGACATGATCATCATCAGTACAGTTCCTTTCATCCTAATACGTAATTTGTAGATTGTTTTCGAATGAATGACGGATTTTTATTGAGAAACACAGTTAATGATTTACTTTTCATTGATAACTTGTTCCTTTTTTTTCCCTGAGAAACTGAAATGACTGCCCGAAACGACTTTAGCTGAGAATCGATATCAAAGAGAGAGCGAGAGAGAGAGAGAGAGAGAGAGGGAGAGAGAGAAAAAAATCTTCTTTCTATTGCATGATTCAATTTTTAACTGAAGAAGAATATGTTGTGATTTTAATTAAAATATTGTAAATAGATTAGATCGAATTGAAATCAAATTATTGAAACTAGATTAAACAAGTTAGGCAACGAGAAATACTATCGAGAAATCAAGAAAAAAAAAACCAAAAAAATAAAATAAAATAAAATTCCTTCTTTGAAACGAACGTTTTTTCATGATGAAATGATTTCAAGACCAAATTCCTATTTTTTTCTTCTTCAAAAAGCAAATCCATTGTTTTATTTCTTTCCAGTACAAAATCAGAAATCAGAAAATTTCGTATATGAATCGAAAATTGGAACGACTAGATGTCGCCACTGGTATGTTGATCGTAAACGTCAGTTGCGTTGTGAATTATGGTGGCCCCGAATTCAAGTACTAGTGCTTCTCGGTCGCGTGTGTGTGTGTATTTGCGTGAAATTGTTCGTGTTGTCGTTCATATTTTATCTATGATTCGTATGTGTCAATTCGTTCAAATCCATACAATAATAAAAACGTCGTCCATTTTTGTTGGAGATATACAGGTTTTTTTCTTCTTCCCATATTTCTATATGTACATACATTTGAGTTTTTGCAGTGGAACGAGATTCAATACTAATTTCATTATCTGTTTTATCGTTCGTATAATTTATTCGCTCAGTGTGATTCGAACGTTGTTTCTTTTGAAATTCATCAATTAAATCGGAGAAATTGTTGTGTTATTTGCTTGAAAATCAGTGAATTTTGACAAAGTTTTGAGTTTGTGGCTCAGGAACAAGACAAATACGCACACATTGTTGGGCATCCGATAAAAAAAAGGAATTTTTTTTTAAATTTAATTAAACAAAAGAAACGAGAAACAACCCAACAATAAATTAAATATGAAAACGGTCGCCTTAGAAACAATACAAAAACCTAAAACGATGGTAAGTGTAATATTATATTTATTCAAATTTTGCATTCTTTTTCATTCATTTTGTGTGATATCATCCATACTTCAAACATATATTATATCTACTGCATACATTCGTTTTGGTCACACGCGCGGAGCCATCCAGTTCACCAACATTAATTTCATTAAGCAAACGAAACGAGTGAAGAAATAAAAACCCAATTCAATTGTACCATTTCGAATGGAAAACGAAATCTCTCGAATGTTAGATGTGTATGTTTCAAATGTTGCGGGTCTTGGATGAGAAAAATTTGATCACTGTTCAAAACACAGCGTTGTGTTATTTGCTTGAAAGATCCGAGAAGAGAGTGTTTATGTACATTAGGCGTTTAGGTTTACATAACATTTCATCATTATACCAATAAGCCCATTTTGCATTTAGCGCGCGCGCTATTTTTCTTGCTTGTGTTTTGGGATTGCATATGCGAGTATGTTTGGATGTAAAATAGTTTCAAGGGAAAATGGTCATTGATGTCGTCAGTGTTTTTTTTTTGTTTTTTGTGTTGTCGATACACTCTCCGAGTGATCGTTTGTGTTTTGCACCGCATCATCAATCAACATCCCAGATTACCAGCTGACATAACTCTAGCTATCTCTTTACTTAGTCTTTTTTCTGTCTACGTTGATTTCATTTCAAATTTCAATAACGCGTTTCATGATAAGACTCCGATAAAATATAAAGAAAAGAAAAGAAATAACAAATTATGATGGAGTGTAATTGCTTCGGCAATTCAGTTTTCACTTCATCAATGATTATGTTTTGATCTGATCACATGGCAACGATTGAAAACAATAACACACCGTCTCTATCCGGGTGATAACCAGTGATAAGGTGATTGTGTGTCGTTGTCGTATTCAGTCAACCATACACACTGATCATGTGACACGAGCAAACATTCATTCACCTTTGTTGCAGAAAATACAAATTGCAATTCTAATTTGTGTCGTTAGACGTGCTCACGTTCATTTAACATTCGAAAAAGATATGGTTTCAGTGTGATTTCAATATCACTTGATTCGATTCATCGTCACTTTTTTTTCTGTTTTCTTGTTTGGTTTCGCTATTGAAATTCCCGAAACCGAACAAAAAAAAAACGGTTTTTGTTTCGCGTGTGTTGATCATGTGGAACATTTATTGATTTGGTGTGGCATTCTCGAAGCAACATGTCTAATCGGCACGTCAATTTCGAATGTGTGTTTGTGTGTGTGGTTTTTTTTGTCGCTTGCCGTCACTGTCGTTGATGTCATGCCACGTTTGAATATTGCAATGAATTCAACAATTTCGTACTTAAATATCAGAGGGATATTGCAATTTTTTTGACCAGAAAAAACACCATCTTACGTCGTGACCGTAAATTATTTTACTGTATATTTAGATGGTAGAGCTTGAACAAAAATTCAACACTATGCATAAACTTGGAAAGAGCTTGATAAACTTGATGAAATACATATATTTTATGGTCGTTGCAATACCCCTATGTTAAATATCAACCGAATAATGATGGCTAGCTGGCTAGCTTGGTCGTTCAATACTTTTTTTTCTAACGACAGACACTGAAATTGCCATTTTTCACATACTGGTTTTTCAGCACACTCCTGCTTGTCAATATAGACTGCAAATTTATAGTATTTCTATGTTGAACTTTGTCATATATTCAAGTTGAATCTATTTCGAAAGCCACACGACCGAGTCGGTCGGTATCTAGAGGAACAACGATTTAGACAAGAGAGAGAATAGCTGCACACGGTCGATTGATTGCAGTGATCTAATTTTATTTCAGTTCAAGCGAAATAGAAGAAGAAATGGCCACGTTTAGAAAGAATCTGTCGATCTCTTATAGAAACAGAGAAATAGAAAGTGAGAGAAACTGAGAAAAATGGCGATCAAATGTGTCGAGCCTTTATTTCGACATGGTTCACACAAGAATTTAAGATAAAAAAAATTTCTTTCGGATTTCTCAAAATTAAAGACTCATATTTTCTCTCTCTCATAAAAATCCGGGTTTTTCATAACCACTTTATCTGCGATCGCTTCAAGTACGTATGCAATCGCTATATGTACTTAATTTTTTTTACTTCACACTGCATTGGTTTCTGTATTCGATAAAGAGCGTTTGATTTGCGAGCGAAGACTGACCTTGAATCATTTTTTTTTCTTTCGCAATTATCGTGCGACAGAACACAACGTGTACACAGTACAACAACGATGCTTATACATATTATAATACATGTTGGTTGGATTGTTTTTTGTCTCGCAACAGCAGCAACACCAACGTCTGTTGTGTTGTCCAACTAAAGCGAGTGAACTAGATAGAACAAGTTAAAATGAACTAAAATGAAATGAATTCCAAATATTTTCTACAAGATTTTTCTTTCGATGAATTTTCTAACCCTCTCGTTAGCACACACACACACACACACGAACGCTTAGTTTCAATAAGTCACTGAGATAAAAGACAAAAAAAAACATGGGTTTCAATCACTGGTCTAAATAAAGTCACATGACGTATAACTTAAAGAACAGAACAAAACGACGAGAAAAAACCTGTAGATATAACCTTTACCCATCCTCAGAGAGTGCGCGCATCTCAAAAATTCAATAATAAGATAGCTAGCTCTTCACATATTCGTGATTGAAGTGTGAGTGTGAATTATATCAAGTAAACAAAACCATAAACGAAAAAGACGGTCCTTTTTCTCGTTGCATTCAGAGTCGTTTCAATTGTTGTTTCACTTTGCCACACCATTGACATCAATTGGCGTGTAGTAGCAGATATTAGCTGTGATATCAAACGGTTTAATTTGGAACGTACTGTGATATATATATTCGAATTTGGTTTGAAGTGTCGCATAAATTGCATGTTTTAGTGAGTAGCAAATTTTAATACGAACGCAAATTTTGATGGTTGTTCTGTGCAAATGTTATCTGTGCATGTGCATGCTTGAAATTCTCTAACGCATTTTCCATTTGTCTCCAATATTCGGATGGCGGAATCTTCATGGCACTTGTTTCTTCTTTTTCTTTTTCCTTACAGAATTGTGGGCCTACTAGAGCAGCCAATTCGTGAAAATCAAATCTGATGAATCAATTTCATTTGTATCTATAAATATTTAATTTTGAAAATATTTGTAACTAAGTAAGGGCAGTAAATTTTTAGTTTAATTTTCAACAACAACAATAAATCACATCAAAAAAAGAAGATTACCATTACACGAAACCGGAAACCATAGAGAAGGCAACCACTTGTATACAACACAGTTTTTTTTTTCAATTTGATCAGTAAAGAGTTTTTTTTTACGAAAAAAGAGCAATTTTTTTATCGACGGCTACTTCAAATTTGCCAAAATATATATGGGTTATATATGAAATAACAAAGGGAACGAAGTTCAAACGCGTACATTTTGAAACGGAAAAGCTTTATCAACCTCTTTAAAACAGTTTTTTTTTTCATCGTGCCAAATTTTATAAAACAGTCTTGTTCAAATCACATCGTCGTTTAACGTTGAGTTAATCAAAGGAATAGTTTCGATTTGAAGAAGAGAACATAAAAAATCCGACAAAAAGAAGAACATTATTTTTGGTTCAAACCTAAAAAAAAATTATAGAATAAAAAGAAAGAAAAAAGTTTGACAGCGAAAAGAGAAATAGAAAATACGTCGTAATCATGTCTGCTGATCCAGAGAGCCAATCTATTTCATCCGGACGCTCCTTCCCAATGTGGTTGCGAACGAAAACGGACAACAAGTGAGTAAATAGATAGATTTTATTGGGAAAACGCATTGGTGACATCGACAATATCAGCATTGTTTTCTTGTTTATTGCCATTCAATTGAAATTCGAGCAACGCATCGACCGTTGTTTACCGCCGTTGTGAATCCATAAACAATTGTGGCTTGATCAAAATGATGAGTCATTGATACCATGTATAGGCACAAAAAAATCGACATTATTTTAGCCGCAAAATTCCAAGAAAATTACTTTTTTCACAAAATGACACACACGAAAAAAAAATGCAAACAACAACAACAGTCTCCAATGACTCAAACGCTTATGAACAGATCTTATTTTTTCATGGTTTTCTTCTCTTCTTTCGTTCTGTAGGTTTGATTTCGATAGTCAAGCAATTTCGCCGCCGGCTCATGATGAATCGTTTTTCTACATTCGCTATCCAGCTGGTGCAACGAGTAACGATAAAAAACCGTCAGCCACATCGAATAGCATCAAATCCTCAATAAGTGACGCAATCACCAAACAACAATTGGATACCAAAATCAATCCAACGAAAGGTAGCTTGATCGAAAAGAAGAATATGGTACAGCACACGGAACCGTGTAAAAAATTCTTAAATTCGAACGAGCGAGGTAAGTTGCCGGTTTTCTCTTCGCATTCCCCTATATTATTCTGACTAAAAAATGAATTGCATTTTTCGTATCAACAGTCTTGTGAGCATGAAAATGCCGCTTTAATCACGAAAAATTGCCATTCACATCGGTATGATGCAATTTATTTATTTCAATTCGCTGACTGATTCAATCATTATTATGAATTATGTGTGACAAAAAAAGGAGGCAAATTACCGAATGGTTGAGAACAAATTATCTGAAAACAAAATATTGTGATGCCCCATTTAATGGCATGTTTCTTTTTATTTTGTGTGGTGATCTATTGAACTGTCTTTGCAATATAAAATTGCTTCGATTATTGTTGCTTGCGACTCGCATGACATCGTCGTGCAAAAGGTCAAAACTAACCGGTCTTTTTTTATCAGTATGATAAATTTTGTTTTGCTCTGACAATTTTTTTTTCTTCTTCTTCTTCTTCTACATCAAATCGATAGCGCGTCCGTTCGATGTTTATTCGCGCGTTATTGCATGTCATGTTCTTTAATGTTCATGCTTTTTTCTGTTGTTCACTTATGTGCTTTGTTTATTTATGCACCGCATCGCAAATCCAATGGAAAAAAGAATGCAAAAGAAGAAGGCAAACACACAACATCGTGTTGACGATCGTTGTCGGGTGTCATTTGGCCGCCATTGCGTGCTGTTTATTATTTCTCCTTCCATTTCTTTATCTAATGCTATATGTTTGTTTTGAACTCTTTTTCTTTCTATTTTGTATATCGCTCCCTTGCTTGCTGTGTAAGAAAGTAAGAAGGTCAACACGATGAGCTTCTCTGAAATTTAATGAAAAGAAAACAAACCTGCATAACTCTTGATGACAGCAACAATAACCTATCAATAAATTAATCGAAACGCTTCGTATTTTTCCCATTTTCTATATATTGATCATCAATTCACAAATAAAATGAGCAATTTCAATCTAATCTTGCGACGCCTCGTGCACAAAACAAAACAAAACAAATGACGAACAAAAAAATCACTGAGATAGAGTGAGAGGAAAAAAAGCATACACAACAAATGCCGAGCCTATATTATTTCTCATTTGCTTCACACACTTCGAATACAAGTGAGATAAAAATGTAATGGGAACAAGATAACAGCCATTTCAATACACACGCAGATGTCGGCTACGATCGACAGAAAATTTCAATTGTATTTTGTACTATGACCATTTCTAACTATCAAAAACATTGCGGCCGATAACAATGGATGAATTACTAATTTGCAAACAGAACAAAAATGCAATTGATTGTGTCTGGCTGTTTGAACATGCCAGACAAGTCGATCACATTTGCATATTTCGAACTGAAACAAACTCGATAGCAAAGGAAATAAAACCGGCTCGAGCAACGAACGATAATAATAATAATTTCAGTTAGTTTCGGGGCAAAGCACGAACAGATAGATAGACGAGTTCACGCAACTTGAATATGTTTTGTCAAGTGGAGAATATTTTTTCCTAGATAAATGAACGGTACATTTTTGTTGTATGATACATGTTATATCAATAATCGAAAAGGTTCGTGTAGCACGAATACTAGCTGAAGCTTTATCGAGAGGAGGAAAAATTATTTTTGAAAATAGAAAAATGCGATTTTTTCTCGATTGATAAAATTTCTCGAAAAAAAAAATTCTGAGAGAAAAATTAATGATCGAAAAGAAAATTTCGAACAAAAGAACTTATCATCAACGAAGAAAAAAACAGAGTTCGTCGCAGTTTCCAACAGTCTCATATCTAAAAAATTTTGCAACATTATTTGATGACCTATTTTGCTATAGTGCGTCGCATTTGTTGCAGCTAAACGCCATTTGTGCCGCACAAATTGTGCGAACGTCATTTAAGAGAAGCGAATTACATATCTATTGAGAAATACGAAATGAATTTTATGTAGTGGCGATAGCGTGTCTTGATATAAGTAACGTGTAAGTGAGTGGGTCGAAATACACACAGAAAGAATGTGAGAGAGTGAGAGAGAGAGGCGGTGCACAATAGCCAAAGACCTTCGGTCAGCTGTTCTAATCGCACAATTTCGATGGTTGCCAGCATTAATGCATTAATTAGTATCGAGTAAAACGAAGAAAAAAAATCGCGCGTCGATTCCGTGTAGATTTCCTCAGTTCGTGTTCAACATACAAACCAGTTAGATAATTACATTTATTTTATTTTTTTGTTTGAATTTAAATGCATGCCCGAAACCGCACACAAACGCATACATCAATCTATCAAAGCGAATAACTTTCACTTCCTAAAGTTCGAGTCGCTAATTCCGTATTTCTTGTTTCATTTCGATATGAGTGCAGCTATATAACAGATGTGTCTGGGAAGGGCTCTGTTTGTGTTGTTGTTTTTTTTGGCGTGATACCAGTTTTGATTATGTTTAGAATATACGATATGATTTAGACTCATGAATTGAGTAAGCGATAAAGCGATGCACGCGTTGAATGTGGTTTTTGTAAACCGGATCCAAAAATTCGTTGACATTCACACTTGTTGGATGCGTCAAAACAAAAGTCATCGATGTCAACGATATTTACAAAAGTACGAACATATCTTATTTTTGATGATGATGAAGAAACCCAATTGTTGTATCTAAGCAAAAATGAGAAAATAGATTGTGTTTCGTTGCCAAAGCCTTGAATTGAGATTGAATGTTCATGGAAAGTTTTCGAAGTGTTTTTTTCTTGCATCCTCTTTTGTTTTCATTCTAATTGCAATTGGCAAACGCTGGAAATTGGTGCATGCGCAGCATTGTTCTCCCCTTTTTGGCACTTGTTCCACCGAATACACACACACACTCACGAGTACCACATACAATTAGGCCAGACAATTGAATGCTTGAATCTTGTGCACCGATAGCAACCGATGAAGTTAGGTGATAACAAAAGAATACGTACCAATCGACATTGAAATGCGTTGAAAGGCAGACGCCGAAAACTATCTAGATTAGTGTGATTCCTTTCATTTTATTTTTTATACAATTATTTCACATGTGGCTATAGTTTATTCGACTGATTTTTTCACCAAAACCAAAAAGTTTCATATTAATTCGTATGAATTGTGATACAAACGATACCATAAACCAGTGAAGTTTATTATTCATTTGAAAGAAAGAGAGAAAGAGAAATCACATTAAATACAATCGATTCTCGAAACTTGTTGAACAAACAAATAAACAGTCACCCAGGTAAAAATATAGTAAATAAGATAAATTTTTTCAATATTAATTTGAATGTTGAGGTAATCATTAGCATTACCGAATCGTATCAATTCGATTGATCTATGATTTGCTTTTTTTGCAAATGCACTGTGCAAAAACGCAATTAACAGTGCAACTCGTTGCAGTTGGGAAAAATAAGGAGAATGACTGTATGCTGTGCGATTGTTGTTGCTTCTTTTTTTCCCTCATGTCGCACATATTGTTGGCATTGCGCGAAATGATTTTGTAGAAAAATAAATAAAGCGTCTAGCATCATCTAGTGCCAGTAGTTTTCCACATTAAATTTATGAGCTATTGCGCTGCTCTCGAGTCATAACATAATTTTTGTTTGGATGACGACGTTTGACCTTGAACTTGGCACTCATATCGTCAAGTTGTATTGCTTGCTCCAGTTAGTTCGAGGTGTTTCCATCCCGTCGCATGCACTCGCATATTCACAGAATTTTCCAATGACACAGTTTTACAGTTTGCGTTACACTTGAATTTTGTCGAAAATCTGTGTCACTGGGTTAATTCAACAATCATTTGAATTTGATTTGATTTTACATTCGAGCTGATTGTTGTACACCCAGCAATGAGCTTTCAATTCAACGTTTTCACTGGGAATTTGCAAGACACAGAAGTAAAAAAAAAATCGAAACTTACTGCTGCACATTGTATATTTATAGTATTCGATCGTCCGTTTTTCTCTTTCAATTATATTATTTCGGTTTCTATTGTGTTTTTAGGGCTTCAGATGAATCCATGTTTGTTTTGTGTTGGTTGTTGTTGTTGTTGTTATTCGGTTTTTCTATTGGACTCCAGTGTATATACAGATTATGATTATTCTTTTATTCTTATTATTTGTGAACAAAATTCCAAGATACACGTGTAAACAACGCTGTGCGCCGTTTGTTAGCTAATGATGCTAATTTTTGCGCCACCAAAAATAGCCCATTGCCCGGCCTTTGAAACTGATTCGATATTATTTTTGTAATATCCTGTGAGATAATTTTTTTCTCCACATAATCAAGTAAAATAGTGCAGTTTACCGAAGCAATTACATGGCCAAAGCTATTTATATGTATCATGCATCCGATCGATAAAATAACGAACCAATCAACCAATGAATGAATGAATGACAAAAATAGTGTCGAAAAATAGTGCTTTGTATTCTCTCGCTCCCTATCTATCTCACTCCCAATCCCTTGATGCACTCAAACGCTCGTGTATATTGATCACAATGTATCGAACCGATGAAACACGCCTCAATTGAGTGATCTGATTAATGGTGACTCAAGTCCATGTAAGATGTTATTAAAATATACGCGAAAATTTATATCAGAAGTTCTAGCCAGTCGGCGGGGCGACGAACGGAAATTTCACGGTGGACTTTGCAACTGACGACGTTTAAATCATCATCGTCGTCGTTGTCGTTTTCGTTTTCGGTTAATACCAGAATCGCTAAGTAAATAATGATTCGGGCTCAAACAAAGGAATATCAGTCGAAACAGGAACAGCTGATTGTGTGCGCCGTCAATTTGCGAAATTGTATAGTTTCCAGTTGTCGACAAAACAGCACCGGCCGAACCGAAAGATCGCAACAACAAGAACGACAACAATAGCAACAAAAAACATGTCGTCAACAACAACAGAATTGTTCACAACTGACTGCAAATGTGAATCATTGGATGTGTGTAATTGAATCGAAGCCGATCTATTGAATCTGATGATATCATACAATTCGGTGACGTATTCATCAAC